GTTAGATCCAGGAGATGGAAAGCACTGAGTAGAGCTCGTCGAACTGGTTCGAACGAGCGCACGCACAATATTGTGTGGGGAGAATGGGGGTCGCCACAGAGGGCAAAGTGAGAGACGAGTTAAAGTGCGGCCGCACGGTAGGGTGTCACACTTGTTTCCTATACAATAGAACCGATGGCAACGGTCAAAACTTGGGTCAGCTGAGCCATCAGTGTGCATAAGTAAATGTATTCACCTTCGACCTAAGGATAGTGACAAAGCCTGAACTTGTTAGAAGATGTGGCGATGATATCTTTTGAACTGTACCATTACATCATTAAAAGGCCTAAATCTCCACCGGCGTCCTGAATCCATTAGACGGATACAGAAATATTCCAGTTGACTCAGATTAAAATGAACCGCTGCGCTCTGTCGGTCTGTATCTCAAACAAAGCTCACTTACCAATCTCGAAGCTTGGTGGTCACCATGCTCTTCGCAGATGGAGACAACTGTCCGCTGGTAAAATTTACCTCCGATCCGCTGAACCTATCAGAAATATGGTGTCAAAATGACCACTTGAGAGGTGGATGTGTCATCAACAGACTGCCTTCCGAGGTGTTTAGGTTATTAGACGGAGTAGTTCTTTTTGCAATCCGATTTCGCTGGACGTCGATTTGCAGACCTGTGAAGACTCTCGGTTGTATGAGCGATGGTGACCGATGTGGAAGGGCAGAGATGAGACCAATCAGTCGCTGTTGACGCAAACCGACCTCGCTTGCATAAGCCAGATAGATAAACCATGGAAGAAATTACGGTTTTGTCGGAAACATCGGCGAGTCAGATTGGTTGGAACTGCAGCCAGCAGACAAAGTGTGACAATGGGCGATCGTACACCAACGGCGCAGGATGTAATAGCAACCGTTCCACCGAGTAAACTGTGGCGACAGGTCGCTAGTGAAGAAACAGCGATTCGGGTGTCACCAACACCAGTTGACTGCAATGTCGCTGGCCGGACAAACAAAGGGGAACTGACGCGCCCGTGCATGATTCAAATTGGACATGGCAAACAAAGCAGAAATGTCTTGATACTAGCAGAACATACGAAAATGAGAAGTGACCAACACGAAGCCATCGCATCTAAACGGCTTCCCTGTTTATGTAAAGTACAAACGATGATTTACCTTACAAAATCAGACTAATTGATGCCAAAATTTCCTTTTGACACTCAGAAGACTACACAGCCCCTATTAGACCCAGTTACCTGTAATTGGGCTTCTCACTGGATGCACCTAGCGAAGCAAAAGTTTACCGTAAGTTTTGACACGAAGTATTTCAAAGCTGCGACTCCAAGCGATTTCTTCCATGGTGGCCCAGTGAACACCAGCCAGTTAAACGCACTACTTCCTAGCATTCGACTAGAGAAATCGGTAATTATCTCGAGGTTTAAAAATCTTTTCGCACCTCAGGCATCATTCAGAGATACGCTAGTATTATTTCCGCTGCCTCTAATCTGTTGATATCCGTTATGCTTTACAGTCTACCCGGAATTCGGGAATCAAAAACTTCAAAGAACACAGAGAGACATCAGCCGTACGCCGGTATGCCATACAAAGCTTTGTAGTTTAGAGCATGTAGGTTTAGTGTGCAATCTCCAGCAATTCGTCGAATACGCTAGTTTTAATTAAGGCATGTCATCCTCGACTTTCTTAACATCCAGCTCAGTTTCTTAACCTGAATCATGACGTTTCTAACTGAGAAACGGATTCCCAGAAAAGCATCCCGCTGACCCCTTGCACTATACACCCAGTCTGGACAGCGTGAATATTTCCGGACAGCTTTCTTATTCTTTCGATATCCGTGGCAGCGTATGACAAGGCAAATCTATCACTGTTCCTCTTTAATTTTGCAGCTGAATACGTCCTTTCAAGAGCTCAAGATGGCTTTCAAAAGTTTGGCTTAGATCCCATTCTAATTGGGCCTGCGACCGAATTAGCCTTTGCTGATGGCAATGCTGTGTCTTAGCTCCTGCGCTGTTTAATATTTATTTTCATGCCATGATGTCTTGTGCTTCTGATGCCGCATGTGCTTACGGTGTTCGTGTGGAGCACCTTATTGATGGTGGGTTGCTGAGTAGCCGTCGTTTCGGTGCGAGAACCCTAGTCTGTGAGACAACTACCCGTTTGTTGCTATTTGTTAACGACTGTGTGTTTTGTATACACAGCGCGGATGAGCTGCAGCACATGACTAATGCTCTGGCTTCGACGACGGCCAAATTTGAGTTCACCACCAACAAAAGCAAAACTGTCTGTCTCTTTCAGCCTTCACCGGAGGTGCGATCTTCAATGTTACCGCGAATCAGATTGGTGATGACGTATTGGGAACCACCTCCAGCTTCTGCCACCTAGGGAGTGCAATGTCGATTGACTCGCAGCTGCACAGTGAGCTTCGTATCCGCGTCTCGAATGCCGCGACGGCTTACGGGAAGCTAGAGTACCGAGTGGGGAACAACCAACAGCTTACCCTTGGTACAAAGCTGATGGTGTACAAATCCCTTGTGTTGTCCATACTTCTATACGGCAGTAAAACGTGGACAATGTACCGGCGGGATTTGCGATATCTCGAGCGGTTTCAGCAAGTGTCTGCGACGGATTCTGCACATTGATTGGTGCGACAGAGTTTCGGACACGGAAGTGTTGCGCCGGAGTGGAAATATATGCAGTGGACTGCATACTTTTACTAAAGACACCTTTGGTGCTTCGGTCATGTGTGGCGTATGGATCCGACGCGGATACCGAAGCTGCTTTTATATGGTCGACTGAGTTTGAGGAAGCGGGACGTGTGCAAATCTAAGCTTCGTTACCAGAACCTGATCAGTATGAGCCTCTCACGTTCTAATCTTGATTACAGGTCATGGGAAACAAAAGCGATTGATCGACGTGCGTGGCGCGATCTGATCACGAAGGCAGTTGCGGAGGTGCAAGCGTAATCCTTCGTGTATGCAAAGAAGAAGCGGCACTTGCGGAACCGACAGTCGCTGATGGGTTGTACTCCATCGATCTTGAGCGCATAGCGCTGTAGCACATGCGGTCGCGAGTGTCTGAGTCAGGCAGGCCTAGTGAGAGATGAGCGGGGGCACACGACGACGAGTTTCGCAGAGAGCGTAGGCAAAACAGGTGCAGCGTTTGTAAATACGCTGTATTCGATTTAGTAACCAAGTGCTGGCATGTTGAGTCTCTTTATTTCAGGTGGTGGGTCTGTTATATTGTCTTGATGCTATTTTATATCATATCAATGTCTGCCTGAAGTATCTTCTATAAACTTGTACACCTCCCTTAAACTATTTTAGTTAACTTCGATAACATTTGCGCATTTGCGGCATTTGCTTAAACTGTATTTTCTGATAGCTTGAATTTATCGCGGATTTGTTTGTAACCAATTTATTTCTTATGCACATTTATTAACGTGTTATGTCTGTATGCTTCATTCTATTTATTTTATTTTATTTCAGCTTTTCAAGTGTTGGGCTGTTGCTTGATATCCCCGGTGTGGCTGCGCTTGATGTGCATGTTGACAAGGTGCCTACCTATCTGTTATCCACTACGTCGTCCATACTGTCTCTAGGAGACAGTTGGTCGTTGCTGGAGGGGACGGAATTCACGGTCCTTGTGGCCGTGATAGACTAGAAGAATGGTTCCATGCGGTCAGTATGGAGCGGACTAAGGTTCAAGCACCGTCTTGTGCTCGCCTGATTCCCAAAATACAGCGTGATTGTATTTGCCTGTGAAGTAGCGTGGGCGGGCTCCATTGATGAAGCTTGGCTCCAATCTACATGCCTCCTGGTCTTCTTCCTTCGGGTATTCGCTGAATATGGGGTGTGTGGTTGGAGCTGTGGGTGTTGCAGCGCAAGCCACCCATGGTCCGTCTGTAGGTGCAGGCGTCCTGCGGCTCGCCACAGTGACAGGGAAATCCGAAACCGCATGCCGCCAAACATATATGCTGAACTCGAGCGCTTCACAACAAAGATTTTACACTAAATATACCGAAGGCTAGAATGAACGTCAGCTCCAAATGCTTTCTTCTAATCTATAGCTACCTGTGGAATAAACTACCAATAACACTCAGGTTATGTGATAGTGCAGCAATATTTAGAAGCAGATTCTCCAGTTACCTTGACCTAACTACCATAATCTCTATCTTTACATGGAAAACCCCTCAATGGGCTATTCCAAGTGGGGTCCGAGAACATCTACACACCAATCTTTTCAAAACTAGGCTTTGACCTCTACCATTCACCCTCTACCCCAATATTCCACCTATGCATGTCACTCATTCAAGAGCGTGGATACTTCTGTACAAGCTGATCAGTTCCGCTACAGATACAGCTTTTTGCATCAGGAGAATCATACGTATTATATATATATATATATATATATATATATATATATATATGTCAATAGTGTAGAGGATGGTCCATGAGGTTATGTAACTTAATGCCAATTACAAGGTGTTAGGTGGCTTGACTTGGAGTCTCTGTGTACCCTGAATTTGATCTTACTTGTACATTTCCTATTTGGCTTCGTATTACTATACTCCCAACCAACTCACACTTGATTGCGAAAATGCTTAAACAATCAACCAAGGGCTTTGTCATAGCGCTTACATAAATTGAGGAGGAACAGTTTTATGTACCATTCTACCCGTGCGGTTATGTCTTATCCAGAATATGAGCAGAACAGCGCACTCTAACCAGGGGATTAATATGAAAGCATTTAGATGACAAAGCGATGGGTCAACAGCAGCAGCGGAAAGTGCCACTCTAAGCTCCATGGAATCAGAGTCTACCGTAATCACTAACTACCAACTTCAGTTCGTGAACTTTAACATTGAGGTTCTGAATGGCAATAATTTGATGATGCTTCAAATAATCAGAGTTCAGTGATAATCCGAATGAGTCAATTGGTAAAGTGCTTTAAACTCTAACATGGCGTGTCCGTTCTACCCTGCTAACATTTGGCTTCAGTTTTTCTATCAACCAACTGTCTCCGGAGAGAAACATGTTGGATTCTTCAAACTAAAAACATGCAACAACTTCGGTGAAATTTTGGTCAAATGCTCCGGTCGATCCACGGGTATGTCCAGTTAATACATTATTATCACCCATAAATTATGTACTCGAAAGTAAGAGATTGGCAATATATAACTTAATTTAATCTATTCAGTTTATGAACTTACTTTTCCAAGAATAAAAGCAAATAGACACGTGCTCAGTACACAAGTTTAGGAATATTATGTGCTTAGTATAGGACTACTCACCAGCAAACTGACACTTTATATCGTTCAGTCAGCAAAGAGAATCATTATCGATCTTCACTGTACACCGTTCACATAGGCAAAACAGAAGTACGTCTATCCCATCTTTCATAAGGAGATGGCAGTAATGTATGCGGTAGCAACTGACAGATGAGCGAAGACGCCGCAAACATCCCATTTATTGGCTCAGCAGTTCATCAGCTTATGCGACTGCAAAAAGGGCAAATTGTCTAACCCCCGGCAGTGTACCGAAGTACGGTATTCTGCTTGAACATGGGACACAAGCAAACACAAGCGAACTTGTTTCATAAGAACCATTGAGTGAAAATGTGAATTAGTTGAAAGGCTCCTAAATACACAACACTTTGGTCACCCAAATGTTACTTGTGAGCAGACGCGTACCACAGAGGGAACCCGGGGCGGCTTGTGATGGCGCGGCATTTTTAGTACCGCTGATTATGCGATGCAAAATCTACAGGGCGAAATTTCCAGAAAAGCTGGGAGTTGAGTATTTTAACGTTACTCAGTATGGCCAAAAACACATTTGCGTCATCTGCCACATCAGCGCAAACGTTCATCCTAGCAATCCCCATACTTGTCCAATTGTGGCCGCGTTTATCACATTCACCTCAGTGTTCCAAGTGATTAACCATTTGACGGAAAACCAGTGTGCACTTTACCCTGAGCTGATTTTGCAGGTTTACAGATTTATAAATGCCAACGGGGGGGGGGGGCAAAATTTTACCACCGGCCCCGGGCGACAAATGCAGTTGTTCCAGCACTACTTCTGAGTCGTTATATTTCTCAGTAGCAAATATCAGCCTCAAGTTTGATTATCTGCAACAGTTAAATGAATAACGTGATAAGTAGTTAGTTGATTTCCGAGTCCGTTATCCCCAAGTGCACGTGGCGTATGGCATAGGCTCACAATCATCCAGGTCTAGAATGGAGATAAGGAGTCTGCTCAGACTCAGAATTTTATGAATACAAAGGATTTCGTGTCATCATGTTATAATGTGGCTCGTAAAATGCCTTCTCCAATTCGGTCAGTTTGAACATATTCTTCTTCCACAGATCACATTTTGTCACAAAGTCTTAATGCATAATCGAAACTGAGTACACGGTGAATTTATTTGCGATACAATTTATTAGTTTGAATTTACGTGGCGGTTGAACCGGTCACTGAGCATGGCAATTTTGTTGCAAAAGTTTAGTCATCAATTGAGGTAACAACATCAGGGCCTTGTTAAGTAGGGTGTAGTATTGGAGGGTTACGTAGGGAAGCCTCGGTGAAAGGCTTCCTCATTTGAACAAACTGGGCTGCCGATTTTCATTTTTTTATTATGAATTCGTCAGTTGTGCTCGGTGGTTACTCCGCAATCACGAATACACTGACTGTTTAGGTACCGTTTAATTTTCATAAACTGTGACTGCAACCTCCGATGAAGGCGATGGGATGCAGGAACTCAGAAACTTATCGAGCACGCAATCAAACAATTTTGGAAATATTTACTATCCTGATAATAACCGCGAGCGCTTCTATGGAACATGCGATGTCATATATGAGTATTTGTTTTCTTCCTGCCTCAATATACACCTAACAATAGATAAGGTTCTGTTTTCGGCTTTTCTTTTAGACGCCAACATCAGACTGTCCACATCAGAATTAATCTTCGATGCTACAGCCTCCGGCCACGTCACACAGAAGTCATTTCACGTTGTGAACCAATGCGAGCTTCCTGTGACCTATGAAATCACTTGTGGTCCAGTCTACTGTAAAAGTGAAAAAACGCAAATCTGTTCCAGCGCATTTCCCATTTTGGACGGCGCAGTGAATGGAGTACTGGACAAGGGACAGCGTGTTAGGGTGGTTATGGGATTTGCACCCAACTTCCCAGGTCACTATTTCCGCCGGATAGCGTTGTTGGTCTCCGGTCAGGTAAAATAGCTAAAGACTACTTGGACGCATTTTTGAGACAGATTCCTCCACATTAGACGTGTGACATTCCTTTAGATGCTGACGATACATAGCAAAAAGCTTTCAATTAATTTGCAATAATGTTGAACGTGAAGTTTATAAGAGCACTTTACGAAGTGCACCTGAGGGGCTTGGATCATGTGCATGCTTAAGTTTTAGATAGTAAAATGTTTTAGTCATCTGCGAAGAAACCTAATGAGCGCGGCACCATTCACAGAAAGTTTGAAATGCTCTGTATCACTGTAACACCTTTCTTGCATATGACCGCCTTGGGTGGAATAAGTCTCACCCATATGCCGGGTGGCATGCCACTGCTTGTGTTGCTTACGGATGTAGTGTTACTGCACCACAATCTACAAGCTAAAATACGCACTTAGAGTAGCATTAGCCTGGTTGATGAATATACGCCGTGTGGTACACAGTTTCATGAAATTTTTTCACTTTCTTTAGGAGCCGAAGTTTTTAAACCTTCACGGTTCTTGCCACAGCGGTGACCATCAACCGCACGAGATAGCGTTACCAAACCAACGAAACAACGGGTCCATGCTGGCTACGAAAGAACAGCTGCAGACAGGCGAAGCTAACTCACGCTATGACTATGTAAGTTACGCGAACTAGGTATGTTGTCACAAACTGCCTGAGTTTTCACATGACATGAACCAATTTAGCTTAATTCCAGTTACTGTGGGCCATCAGTGAGCATATTTACGCTAGAGTAACAATTATCTCGGATTGAACTCTTATTGAGAACATTCAGTGGCAAGCTCTTCCTTAAGGGATAAGTGCAACAATACGGTAATGATAAGAAGGAACTGATACTTGTTTAGGCGAGTTCAGTTGATCGGCCAGAGGTTTCCTTTGATTGGCTATTCCACAGGGTGGATTATTGCCGGTTAGAAGTCTCCAGAAACATGGCTGGCCAAACTTGAAATCTGTGACCTAAATGCTGTATCATGTATAAAATGCGGACTGCCCTTTGCTTTAACTTGGAGTACGCGGATACTGTGAGCAATAGGTCGTCACCTATTTGGTGCTTTTAGCATACAGTACATCTGCCATCATTTGCAACCACTAGATTACTCTGTTTACTCAGCGCTACCACTAGGACATCGGATCATGACAACCCCTGTCCACAGAGGAACTCAGTAATGCAATATTAAATATAACACAGAACGGTTGCGATGTTGAAACCGCTTTATTCGCCGTAATCCAAGGTGCCATTTGAGGGGAGGATTCTCAAGTTTCGACAGGTCTTATTTGCATTCTATTCACTTCTTACCAGACCCAATCAAGTATGGTCGAAGTTAATGCTAGTGATCAGTCTCCAAAGTTGTAAAATAGAACAAATGAGGTTGACCTCCGCGACTTAGTAAAAGTGGTCAGATAAATAACTACAGTGTGTTACTTAAATGCCGTGTCTTCATTTTTACGCACCTGACATCACCTTTGGACGGTCATAGCACATTGATGACCCTGTGAAACTTGTCTGCCATTTCTAACTCGAGCGAGTAATGATGCGTGACCGCCGATGAGTGGAACTAACAATTCATCAGCAGGGTATCTGGTTTTAGCGTGTTGCGTGCTTCGGTGATTCATTAAGGCTACACTGAAATGTAAGCTATCGGAGCGGCGGAAACCGGTCATACTCATCAATCACTAGATGGAGGATGAGAGACTAGGTGCGACATCTTCCCCATATGATGTTAAGTAGAAGGGATGCTCCTCTTTACCTAAGACTCGCCTGTAGTAAACAGCTTTCCATGTTTATGTGAAAAGTACCTCACTGCTTGATTTAATCAGATAGATGAAAGACATCCGAAACAAGGTGAACCCCGTTTGATTCTTTTCAGACACGACAACAGCTGTCTCTACGCGAATCATACTTGGTTCGAATCCATCGCTTTCCTCCTACGAGTCTTGTGTTTTAGAACCCCAAACCATGGGTAGCTCTGGCTGGTCATCGACTGGTGTGTAATTTGCGCTAAACAGACACAGAGCACCAGGTTGTTAAAGTGTTACTTACAGTAAGGACGGCGCCTATTCTACTCAGTAATCTGATATCTCTAACTGCCAGCCAATGAGACCCCGACAGACAATCAGCTGATTAGCAACCAAAGTCTACCTCACGTTACTCGTGATCACGATTTCATAGAGATAATATATAGGATACATGCGTGGATTGATGCAGGCCTTTTAAGTTTGCGTGTGGACAGTTCGGGAATGATATTCGCAGTACTAGTTAACCACCCTCCAAAACCTGACTAACTTTCATTGAGCTTTAGGGTTGGCTAAGTTCGGTTTGCAATGGTGGTTCCTTGCAGTCCCCTACCAGCCAGCAGGCTTCGGAACCACTGGAAAGACACCAGACAGCTGGTTTGACCTTCTGGACCTCCTCAATGGTGTGGATTCCTCGTACCCCGCCGGGTTCCGACCCCACGACTTCCGAATGCCAGCAGCTTGTGCTACTAAGCCATGGGTGACAGCCGGGCACTTGCATGACTGCTAGTTGACTACGATATGGTCCGCTTATTCTGAACTGCCGCGCCAGTTGCTATGAATCGGGCTATATGATTGTCAACTCAGGCATGCAGCTGCGCATAGTTGCACAAGCTGTTGGCATCCGAAAGTAATGGGGTCGGAACCCGGCGGGAGTATTAGGAAGGCGCACCCCTGACGCAACTCAGAAGATGGAACTAGCTGTCTGGCACTTTTCCAGTCCTGCCAAAGCCTGTTAACTGAGGGAACTGAGACGAACTATATCTACAATTATACCGATCTCCCCACTACTCTTTAGTGAGTTCAGATTAAGCAGCAGTACTAAAGCACACTTCCATTTAGATCGCCATTTCCGTGAT